GGTTTCCCAGGACTGGAATGGGCTCACCACTGGATCTCACTGCCCATTTTTATAGGATACCTTGTGGCTCTCTTGGGTAACGCCACCATCTTGCATCTAGTACGAACTGACCCTTCTCTCCACCAGCCCATGTACTACTTCCTAGCCATCCTGGCTGTGACAGACTTTGGCCTGTGTATGTCCACACTGCCTTCAGTGTTGGGTGTGCTGTGGTTTGATGCCCGGATGGTGGGCCTGGTACCCTGTGTTCTGCAGCAGCACTTCCTACACTCCTTCTCCTTCATGGAGTCAGCTGTGCTCTTTGCCATGGCTCTGGACCGCTTGGTAGCCATCCGATTCCCACTGCGCTATGCATCTGTTCTCACAGGACCTCGTGTGGCATTGTCCGGGGTTTTGTTGGGCATGCGGAGTGCCGCCATCACTGCTGCACCCTCGTTGTACCTATTGAAATTTGACTACTGTCGCCCTGGGGCACTGTCCCATGCTTATTGCCTTCACCAGGACATGATCCGCCTGGCCTGCTCTGACACACATTTCAACAGACTCTATGGACTGTGCATCATCATGCTAGCTATGGGCTCTGATGTCCTTTTCATCTTGCTCTCCTACACTATCATCTTCCGCACCGTGCTGGCCATTGCTTCTGCAGGAGAGAGACTCAAAGCTCTCAACACTTGTGTCTCCCACATCCTGGCTGTGCTCTGCTTCTATGTGCCTGTGCTAGGCTTGTCTATTGTGCACAGATTTGGGCACCACACCTCACCCCTGGTGCACATCCTCATGGGCACTGTCTCTGTGCTCTTCCCACCCCTGATGAACCCTGTTATCTATAGCATCAAGACCCAGCAAATCCGCAGGGCCATCCTCAAAGTAGTTTCATTGGGGAAGATACAATGAGATATTAGAGATGGACTACATTATTCAAAATGAGGAATGAGTGAAAGTTTCTTTGTTAGAGTCCTCATATAACAAAGCAATGTCTGTTTACTTGATTTTAGTTTGAGCAATTGATTGTACATCATGAATAGACTTTAATGTTAAAATCAAATAAAATTGATGTTTATTACTACTTATGTATATACTTATATAGTCACTACTTTCTTACATTAAAAAATGATTATTTTTACAACAATGTGTATTCAATATAATTTTTATATTATCTCTTCTATTAGTCTGTTAAAACTCTAATTATATAATAATTTTGTTAGGGTTGAATTGTCACTTCATATTCTTGAATGAACTGATGATTTTACCATCATTCCTCACAATATAATAGTTCTATTTATGTAATTATATCCATCTATGAAGGATAAATTTTGGGGGTTTTTTAATCCCATTTTTCATATCATATCATATCATATCCTATCATATCATATCATAGTTTGGAACTCAGAAATAAGTCCTGAAACCCTGCCATATTTTTCCTCATTTTTTTTTACTATCTAATTGTACAAATATACTTAATTTCTGTTATCCACATTTATTTCTTCCTATCTTCACAGGTCTTAATTTATCTTTAAAAGTAATAATTACAAATATAAAATATCCATCTAAGAAACTTAGTTTAAAAAAAAAAGAAAATGGTCTATGGCCATGCCACCCCAAACAAGCACATCATCTTTTAGTTCTTAACATTCAATTTTAAAATAGCTTCCTTAAGAAAGTATTTTTATTGACTCCAAGATGAATTTAGATTCTCTTGCTATAATTCCTTGTGTGTCCCGTTATTCTCCTACTAAAATTCTTAGCAAAATAAATCACAATTCCTTGATTTATGTTTGTTGTGTTCACCAGACCATTAGCTCCATAAGGGCAGAAACCACCATCTGGTTTTCCAGTATTTTTTCCTTGTGCTCAGTGCATGTCTCCTTTTCAGACAGGAGAAGAGAGCAAATGTGTAAATGGCTAAATAAAATGGAATAGAGACTACTTTGTATTGTATGGCTAGGGAACCACTTAATTTAGTTAAGATGTAGGATTTGTAAAAAATTATCCATTGTAAGAATTAAAAGGAGAATAAATGAGAAAAAAGTATTGCTCTGAAAGAATAGAGTACAGTGAGAAAGGATAAATGTCATAAAGAAATAATTTCAACGTAAGCAAATATCAAACTATTTATGGCCTTGTTAGCCAATGCAAAGAAATGGGATTTTTAAAATGTGTCTTTCAAAAATATATGTCATTCAAAAATATGACAGCTTTGTGGAGCATGGCTTGAAGGTAGGAAAAAGAAAGGTGAGAGGTCAGTTATGAGGTATTTCAGAAGTTCAGATGAAAGTTAGAGGGCGTGTGATAGAAGTGAGGGAGGCATAAATATAAAACTAGCGAAATATTCCATTGTACATGTACAGCACATCTTCTTTATCATAATTTATCGATGCACACAGGTTGCTTCCATATCTTGGCTATTGAGAATAATGCTGCAATGAACATAGAGGTGCATATATCTTTCAAATCGATGTTTTTGTTTTCTTTGGATAGATATCCAGAAATCAAAATCTGGGTCATACGATAGTTCTATTTTTAGTTTTTTGAGGAACTTTCATACTGTTTTCCATAGCAATTACAGCAGTTTACAATCCCACCAGGTGTGCCTGAGGATTTTCCACATCCTTGCCAACACTTGTTATCTGTTGTCTTTTTGACAATAGCCAATCTGATAGGTGTGAGGTGATATCTCAGTGTGGCTTTTATTTGCAATTCCCAGATGATCAATGATACTGAGCATTGTTTCATGTGTCTCTTGGCCATCTGTATGTCTTCTTTGAAAAAAATGTCTATTAACAATCTCTTCCCACTTTTGAATCAGATTGTTTGTTTTGAGTTATATAAGTTCTATAAAGAACTTATAGATATTTTGAATATCAAACCCTTATCAGATATATTATTTGCAAATACTTTCTCCCATTCAGTGAATTGCCTTCTGGTGTTGTTGATGGTTTCTTTCACTGTGAAAAAGTTTTTTTTAATTTGATGTAATCTCATTTGTTTATTTTCATTTTGGTTGCCCTTGCCTGGGGAGACATATACAAAAAAATGGCCATAAAAAGAATGAAATTTTGCCATTTGTGACAACATGGAGAACCTAGAGGGTATTACACTGTGTGAAATAAGTCAGACAGAGAGAAAAAAACTATACATAAGCCAACACAATGTATCATACCCAAATAATAATTAACATGTGTTTTCACAAGTTCCTTCTCTGTTGCTCCTGCTAAATGATAATAAACTTACTAGATTCTCAATGTCTCCAAATAAGTCAATCCATTACTACTGCGCACTACCTAAAAATGGAACGTGAAGGATTTTATTTCTGTTATGATATTGTCATTGAAGGATTAAAATTTTTCTTTCCCTTTTTCTCTATTCCAAAATCACACATGTAATACCCAAACTACACACATTAACCACACCATCTCTAATTTAGGAAAAGGAAAGTTGACTATTTCTAGTCTAATATGTTTCAAGTACTGGTAAGCAATTTATCTGTTTTATCTCATTTAACTGTCAGAACATCCCAGTGAGGTATGTTTGTTACAGATGACAAAACTGGCTCAAGGAAGAAGTGAATTGTTTAGTTAGTAGATTTGTGACATAGATAGTAAGTTAGTAATAGGTAAAACCATCATTATGTATGTTTTTTTTTTTATTTTCTTATCATATTAACACAGTGAGTGGTACATAGTTAATTCTTAATTTTAAAAATAAGTTTAAAAATATTAATTAATTCAGGAATCCACACCAGTAGTGAAACTGGGAAAAAAAGTCAGAGAGGGGCACATACCTTCTGATTTCATTTATATGTGAAACCTAAAAAACAAAACAAATAAACAAAACAGAAACAGACTCATAAATATAGAGAACAAACTGATGGTTGTAGGGGTCGGGGGGATAAAAAGCTGATGGGGAATAAGAGGTACAAATTTCCAGTTAGAAAATAAATAACTCATAGGGATGTGATAATACAGCATCGGGAACATAGTCACTATTATTGTAAGAACTTCGTACAATGACAGATGGTTACTAAACTTTTTGTGGTGATCACTCCATAAGGTATATAAAATGTTGAATAACTATGTTGTACATCTGAAATTATGTAATATTGTATGTCAACTATACTTTAATTTTAAAAAAGCAATATTTAAAAATAGAACTAGAGAACTTGGTTGGTTAGATATGATTATGAGCAAAGAGACAAATCAAAGATAATTCACAGACAACAGGCATGAATAAGCAGATGGTGATACAATTCAATGAGGTGAGAAAAATTGACGTTGTGGAGAAAGAACTAGAAAATAAGATTAAGAACATTGTTATTAACATATTAGGTTTGAAATGTCTGTAAGACATCAATAGGTGAGGTCAGTTTTTATCTGGATGTTTGAGTTTGGAGCTTAGATTTGTAATTTTGTGAGTTCAGCATATAACTGGCATTTAAATTCATGAAAATGGAAATAGCATTTAGGGAAAGTAAGAAAGGTGAGATGTTCCTAAACAGAATGCCAAAAAAAACATAACATTTACAGTTCTGTTAGAAGTGTACAATTAAGCAAAGAAGACTACAGGGAAGGTTAATTTAAATATATATATATATAATTTCAAAGGATAATTAATACAATAACAATAAATTAATAGCTGAATTGTGAGTTTTGCTTACCATTGTAAGAATGAGTTAACATGGTTTTAAATTTGCTAATCCTAAGACCCAGGTTCTTCACCTACGAAATCAGGATGTCCATAAAGCATATAACAATTTAATAGCAGTTGGGAAATATTTCTAAGAGCTGTCACTTAAATAAGCATTGTTAAGAATATAGAAATAACAATGGCTCCCTCCAGTCAGGCTCTTGAAGTACGATGATTAGAAAGCAGCCTGAGAAATAAAATAAGTTAAAATAATTTGTTATTATAAAATGTGTTTGCTTCAGCTCTTAACCTAGTCATTTGTCCATGACATATTTATCTTTTCTTGATTCTCATGTACAAAACATATGTTCTTATTCTTGTTTAATAGATTTGTTATGTTTACATAAAGTAGGAGGATAGACTCAGAATAGGACTCTAAGCTGTAGCTGGAACATAAGTGCTCCACACAAATTAGCTGTTATTAAACAGATCACTTAATCTCTGTTTAATTTCAGGGAAAATAGAATGGAATTCCTCTGAGGGTGCAGATTGTGGTAGCTATGGAGGAAGAATGGGAAACCTTACCCCTAAATGGTTTGTTGGAAAACCTGAGTGCTGAGTACATATTCAATTTTGCCAAAAGACTTCCTCATCTTGATAGAGTTGCTTAGCCATCACCTCTAGATTTGGGATACAAGGATCATAAATGACACCAGGTTTAAAAAGACGATGAGAAGTATGATATTTTCATCACCTAAATGAATCTAAGTTGCTGTTGTTGGAGAAATCCATGGATATTTTCCCTGGCAACCAGGCCAAGTAAGGGACCCTATTTATGAGTCTTTAGATTACAATATGATCAAGGACACTACAATAAGTGTCATACAGCTAATTTTCAATGATTTGGTGATAATTCAGAATGCAGGAGCAACTGAGAAGCTTAAAGTGAGGAAATCACCATGATAACTCAGGCCGCAAAGAACTGTCTGATCTGGATATGGGGATTCTAGGTCAGAGGAGGCTAGGTGAGATGACCGTCTATGGAGAATGTGTTTAGGACTAGATCTCATACTGATGGCTGAGGGGGCCATTAGCAGAGTCAGTGCCTGGTTCAAAACAAGATATCAAAAGCGATCTAGGGATAAAGGCAAGAGGAAGAGCAGAGTTGAGAAGATCGAGGGGTAATTCTAAAGGAAAGTAGGAATGATTTCTTTGGCAGTGAGATTCTGCTTGTGATGAAGTATAATCACATGTTTTAAGTGCCTCCTGTT